GTGTGTGTGGTTGTGTGCGTCTGCCGCCAACCACATGCTTAGCTGCAATGTTTTTCACGCTGCCTCCGAAAAGAATGCAATGAAATTTGCATATTGTTTTTGCTTTGTGACGCATGACGTCTGCAACTTGTACGTGCAAGCCTATACTATTCAATATGTATGTTTGTATATATATGCGTGTGTGTGTGTGTGTGTGTGTGCATATACGAGGGCCATTCAAAAGGTGCTCGCCTTCGATATACAAGTAGAAACTCATGAGGATGCACAACACGAAAGATCCAAAAAACATCGGATGATAACAACTTGACAAATAATTCCCATGCATGATCACAGCTTTAGATGTTTTGTGAAAATACGACAAAAGAACAGATTCCAATTGGGATGGTAGTGTAGATTTAAAGAGCACCAAGATCCTTCAAAAGGATATGACAACAAGCATCGAGATGAGACGCAATGAGAAAATTTCAAAAGAAATTGACAGATACACAATCCTTAGAAATTCCGATGGAAAATGAAAATGAAATATTGAACCAATGGTGCTCAATAGTTTTCGTTCAAAACATGTTATAAGACTTCTTCCTCAAATATAAGTTTATGGTGCTCAATAAGTTTTTTTTACAATCAATGGTATAATACTTCATTCACCAACCCAAGCTTTTGGTAGATTAGTTACCAGATAGAGCTGGAACCAAGTATAACACTTTTTAAGAACTCAAAATTCCAGTTATATGAAGCGGATACCAATAACTGCTTTTAAGAGCTGAAAATATTTAAGAAGCGTTCGTAAATATATAATCATATCGACGATTAATTATGAAGGAATAGAAATGCAGAGCTCGCCGCGTTTTTGGAAGTATTGCAATTACAAGTATAATGTTTGTTCGCCATATAAGCCGACTATTATAATTTGACAGAATTTAAAAGTAAAGAGTAAGAGAAATATGTCTGGTTCTTGCTATGAGAGAATAAACTGAAAAACTTAATAAAATGTCTGTCTTTAAGCATGCCATGTACATTAACGGAACGACACCCCGAGGGCATTAATGGCAGATTATGGTGCGAGGATAGCGATGATTTGCCAAGGATTAGATAAACAAAAGTATCAAGTAGCTGTAATGAGTATTTCCAAACATCCGTCTCGCTCAATTGATTTGAACTCAACCAACACAGCTCTGTCTTGTATTACAAATACTTTCATATGCCACATACACACATACACAGCTACTTCTGCTCTGGCAAATCAACAACAAGCCTGCCCGAATTCGCACACATACATATGCATACATGCAAACAAACATACATATTGATATACACACATATGTGCATATATAACTCATTGCACTTCAGCCCCAATACAGCTTTACACCTGTCTGTCTGGCCAGCTCTTCGTTATTGTGTATATGTGTATGTTTGTGTGTGTGTGTGTGTGTGTGTGTGTGTGAGTGTTTGTCTGCATATATCTGCATCATTATTATCATCATTATAGATGGGTCTGTCGTTTCGTTGGTCGCTCGCTTGCCTGCTTGCCTGCCTGCTTGTTCGCTTGACCATTGCCCAGTGGCTATGTGACAGTAGCCGCTTGGCTTTTGTCTCATTTATTATGCAAATCTGACTGCCCTGACTGCCCTGACTGCACACGACTGCCCTGGCTAGTGCCCTGCGCACTCCCCACTCCCCACTCCCCATTCCGCAACCCTGGCAACCCTGGTCTGTCCCCTGCTCGATTGTGTGATGTTGCGAATTGCCCCGCACAGGCGGCAAATGGTCAAAAAGTTCAACAGCTACAACAATTATGTTGTTGCCACTGAGGCAACAACAGCAACAGCAACAGCAATAGCAACAGCAACAGCAACAACAATAAATGCATTGGCAGCCATCTGCCATCAGGCTCATCATCAGTAGCAAGCACTTTGTTGTTGTTGCTATTATTGTTGTTCTGCAGCTCATGAGCATTTCCATCTCTTCGCCGCCTTCGTCATCGTCCTTAGCAATTGGAACACCAACAATAACAATGTGCTTTTGAATTACATTTGTTGTTGTTCCTGCTGCCGTTGTTGTTGTTTTTCATTTTGCAACGACGAAAGTAATTTTGCAAATTATTACACACACACACCCATACACGTATTCACGTATTCACGTATGTATGTGTGCACGCAAGCGAACAGAAACAAAAACAATAAGCTTATCGCTTTTTAATGAAATGACAGAAAATATATTAAAAATCAACTACAATTGCAAAGTATCATATTGTTGTATAGTACCTATTGCCCATTTGAGATGATCGTTAAATAAGAGAGGTTTCGCGCTAACCCGACTCCTCAATACTCTGAACCAAAGCCCAACAACAGATAACCCTTTAAAGACTAATGGACTTGAGATGTGGCCGCGATATTAATCCACCAACTGAAACTTTGGAGCACTAGTTTCTGCGTTACTACTTGGGAGTAGACAAAAGTGAGAAAAAGGGCAAAAGGGTGTTTTTGAAGTTGCCTTTTATTGCAAACATTAGTGCAGCAGATATATAACGTACATGTCTCTCGTATATTTAACTGAGCATATAATGTTTATAGTTATTTGTAGGGTAAACTACTGATTAAATTCCTCAAAACGTTTGCGAAAGTAGGAAGGTTGTTTTGAGAGGTGCTTCGGGTATTGTTCCAAGCCCAGAGGTTTCCACGAGAAGGAAATGAGTTGGTTGGAGGCGCAAATAACGAGCGCGCTGGCTCCATCCGGTAGAAACCAATTAGCCGAGGAATGTATTGTAGAAATCGAGCAGAAATTAAGCATCTTCTTACTGGAAAAAAGGAATGTGCAACCAATTCAAAAGACTCTTTCTTGTTCAGAAATGTACTACAAATTAAAACCAAATCAAACCATTTTTGAAGTGAATAATCATTCATTTCATTGATATTTATAACCTAAAGCAATGAAGGACGGCCATACAAAATTTACTCCCTACTTGTTATATCCTTCCACTATACAGGGAACAAAGAAAAATCATATTTATGTAGATGCGAATATATACCTATATATTTGGCAGCACGCCTGCGGAATAATATGTAATTATGAATGCCATGCGCCATTTTGTTGGCCACGCGATCCCTTTGATGCTCTTCCAATAGCTCCACCAGCGTCACCAACACACAGCACATCCCCAGCCAGCATGCTCTTTGCTCTCTGCATTATTTACACGCCACAAACGCAATGTAAACATCATTTTCAATTTTTATGCCAGCTTCAGCGTTAATCAATTACGTGCTTTAATTGAAAACAGCAAAGTCAATACTGATAATAAAAAAATGTATTTGCGTGTGTGTGTTTGTTTGTTGTTTGAAATCGCATTGGCATATGTATTTATTTTTTATTTTTTGGGAGCTGCCATCATAGAAAAATGTATCGAATGGAGTGTTTGATTGGTTCGATTTTCCACTGTGGAAATATGGCTGAATGTCAGTCAGTTTTTGTTTGCCTACGAATTGATTTTCAATTAACGCTAAGCCGTAAAATATAATTGGAATTGAGACAGCGAAAGGGCAGTAGCGGGAGAGCTGCAGACAATGGCAACAAACCGAGGCATTCCATCTGGTGTTGGTTGAGAGCTTCAAACGCAAGGAAAAAGTAAATATAAACAGCACGACAGATAGGTAGATTGAGAGGCGGAAAGGTGGATGGGGTGTGAGCACTTTTTAACAAAACTGTAGCATACATCGCGGCGAAATTGCTCATTATTTTCACTTATAGTTCCCAACTGGTTCGTGCCACATCTTATACTAAGTACGTGCCTCCTTTAAAGGCATCGCTTTTAGTTAAATTTACAGCAGCCAGTTAGGAATTTCAAGAAGCCATTGATAAATAATTTCCCCCATTTTATACAGAGTGTTCTTACAGTTTGCTGAAAGCCAACAATATGGAACACTCATGCACAAACAAACTTCAACATTTCTTCCCATTTAGATATTTTTTTTATCGAAAGAATCGAATTTTACAACCGAATGTATTTTGAAAATCAAGCTAGCATTCAATTCGCAGGCTTCCGTCATGGGCTACACAATTAAGGGAATGAAGTGAAGAAATGAAATTCAAAGCGATGCAAGCATTTATTTAATAAGTGAAGCAGTGTCAGCTGCCAACAAAATAATATCAATAGTCCTGCCAGGAATCCATTGCAGTCTAAAACCATGAAGAGAGAAAAGGATAGTTGTAGAAATTAGAAGGATTGCCAGCGACTCCAACTTGCATTTTGTTTCCTAAATTGGCGCAATCTGCCTTCGGTACCGCCATTACCGTCCTTAGTGTATCAAAGGGGATGTATTACGAATAAACCTTGGACAAAAATCTGCCAGGGATGGATCATCAATCAATCAGTTACTGAGGAAAAGAATAGGGTCACTTACATATTGGACCATCATTTATAAAAGAGTACACATTTGACTACCAGCTCAGCGCAATCCTCTCGCCCATATGGAGGTCGGTCCCGCCGCTCTATAGAGATATCTGTGGAGCGTCAATTCCACATCAAACTAGAAAGAAGATTTTTTGGAGAAACCAGAATTTTGTGGAGAAAAGTCCAAACTAAACATTTAAATAAAATTTTGATGTGTTCAGCTCTCGAGCTGAACGAAAACTGAATATATATTTTTCGAGAGCAACTGGCCTAAATATAAGCGACGAATTTAATTTCAATGCTTGCTAGGTTTCCAAAAAAAGGTACAGATTTTCTCAAATACTCGTACCGTAATGGGCGAAGATTCTGCACCTGAAGATTATTAGAAATACTTTGAGTGCTTGAGTCAATAATTTAGTCAGTTAGTTTATATCTATATTCTAGTATGAAGACACCGAATTTATTTACACATTCAATTTAGAATAGAGTCGAATACACAATGAACTTAGAAATACTCTATCGCAAGGACAACTCAGCGCCGATTTCCAAGGGGGTCTAAAATGAAGTCTAAATCAAAGCGACCTCCTGGACCTGCTTTCCCATACTAATTGCAACTATTGAGTGTCATAGTTTTCCTTTCAATTGTGTACCAATATGTAGTGTTCAGTCCGTTCCTTGAATGCTGCAGAAGCAGACGATTAAAAGCCAACCGGTATGTTTCATTCGAACTATCTAGGTTTCTTACTCACGAGAGGATTCTTTACCCGTGTTAGCTCAGGCGCGTTTGTTCAATAACACCACGACATTTTTTCTGTAGAGAACATAGTAGCAAAGGATTAGAGAAATACAAGGGGAAGAAAACAAGGATACTTACACTTTTGTATAAAAATAAAAAATAAAACGTTTGCTGATGTGTTCAGCTCGAGAGCTGGATGGAGCAACATTCTTATGCCTTGAGTTTCGATTTTCATTGCAATGCTTGCGATGTTTTCGACTTTTTCGATGTTATCATATTTAATGCAAAAAAAGTCAAATGAAAACAGTTTTTGTTGTTGTTAAAGGACGTAACTTATAACTCCTAACTAGTCCTATAATTGGTACTATCGTTTCGTTTCCAATGTAATTCGCACGGGAGATACTCAGAAGTGGTTTTCGCGACCACCATTCAATGATTGATGTCTCTTACAAATGGTTTTGATTTTACCCAATAATTATTTACATATTTTTTGCAATTAAAAACATGTTTGTAAAAAAACTAAATGTAAAATCAAAAATAAATTTAAACGCGAATTTTATTACTGAAATAAGAAAATTGGGCTCTGGAGACCTTAATAATAATTTGTAAGTAATTTGTCGAGACTTGTTGGGGTCAAGTTTCCTAAAGATGGGTGTCTGCCAGGGCGATGCGAAGCCCTTCCTCCTACGAGTCGGTACCATCCCAGCTGGCGAAATACAACTCAGTTCAGGATGTGTGTCATAGTGGTGTCCTTCGGTACAAAAAATATCTTGCGCTTACCATACCACATTTATTTTTATTACTCGTATGCGGAACAAAACATAAAAATAAAAACAACAATGTTTTCTAACACCACTCGTACCGCCAGTGGATCGCAAGCCTTCGGATCTGGGCAATCGGTACCGTCGCAGCTAGCGGGACACTCTTGTCGATAGATTGGACTACGAAAAGAAGATTATACTGTAACTAGAGTTTCCATCGTTTGCAAAGTCGATATGTTTTCTTACCGAAGTGGAAAGCCCTTCAGAACTTCCAGCATTTGTGTATACTTAGTATGGGACCTTCCTTACTGTGGAGCAATACAAGGAAAATCGCTGTCAAATATGGCAGCTATGTGTCTGCAGACTATGCAGAAGAAGGGGGTTATGTGTGCATCGTTCCAGCCACATTTGCTGTAGTGCCTAGCTCGTGTTTGTAGTTAAACCATCATCTAATGTCAAGGATTGTTATCGCGATGTTTCCTGCGAGATATCCAGCTGTATTTTTTACCAAAGATCCGATTGCTCTCAAGTACCAGCAGCATGAACATCTCATAAGTGTGTTAGCCCTAATGTTTTCATGTTTTTTGAACCAACTCCTGTTCATTAACCACACCGTGTATTGTTTACTAAAATGAATATGTAAATTACAATTACATACATTGATTTATGAAAATAAACTAAAGGGTTGCTAGAATACTTGACTTACCTTTTACACGAAAATTTTCAAAAATTCAAAATATACTTCATCCACAAATTTTGCTTTCGAACATTTTTTATGTTGTGTTTAGCGCGCCAGCTGCTAGGAAACTGAAATTATATTTATTACGAGTTCATGACGAATTTATAAAGCATGAATTGATTTTGAAAGACTGCTTTGTTTTGATATGGAGGGGAGTATAAATAGTATGTAACGACTGGTTTTTCATTTTTCTTTGAAAGACCCCATCAGATTAGGGAAGAACAATAGCCACAATTTTTGTGATGGGTGCGATAGAACAAATATTACATTATAGTATATGTATATATATAGTATATTACGGGTCTTTGAAATACAACAAACTTCTTCCTTTTCATTGCATCGCATTTGTATTGGCGGCCTATTCTTAAGTAGCTCGGACGGTCCTGCCCACCACTCGTTGCTTTTCTAATTAAATTTTCGATTTTTTTTTTTTTTAATTCGTACGTTGTCGCTATGGCGCTGCAACTGAATGACATTCAGCCGCAATCGAAGTCGGAACTATTGTCAATTGTGAATTGTGCTCTGCCAGCCAGCCCACCTGCCCTCCGAGCACCCCTTAACCCATCGTGGTGGCCATGCCTCCTATGCTTGGCCCAGCCGCTTGTCGTCTGGCTGCGGCTGTAAATGAAGTTGTGTTTTAATTAAAATTCCAGACTTTATTTCTGTAATTATATTAACTCGCTGTTCGAATTGGTTCGCACGGCCGCTGTCGACTTCGATGTTGATGCAGAGGCTGCAACTGAAATTGAGGCAGGGGCAGAGACAGAGGCTCGATCGATCTATGGGCGAGCGCCAAGCGGCAACAATAAGGAAAAGATAAAACCATTAACGGCAAAGTAGTGAGAAATGTGGAAAACGTAGCAAAGGCATTTGGTAGCGAACACCCTGCCGCATCATCCTGCCTTCTGTCTTTTGCATCCTGCTGTGTCCTTTGTCCGCATTGGCACTTCACTTCGCATCTTCATGGCGTCGGCCACTGCCGCCCTATGGCTTTGGTTTTGTCCTGCCGCCTGCAAATGGTGTTAAAATTAATTTAATTGAATGTGAAATAAAATTTGTTTTGACACACACACCAACACACACCCACACACATACAGAGGCAGGCGTGTGGCATGCGCTTCTCTAGTTTGTGTACAACGGCTCGTTCGGATTGTTCGGCATTCCTGGACATCCTTGCAATTCTCGGGCGTATTTCGAAGTGCTCGTTGCTGCAGCTTCATATATTTTCTGTTCATTTTTTTGTAATGGGCATGGGAAAATAAATAGGTTGACGTGTGCATCACTTTGCTGGTCCTAAACGATTAGTCTGGCATCAGCATTGGCGCCTGTTACAAAAGCAGAGCGTGAGAAGCATTTCATTTGGTATCGACTAAGAAGAGATCGTAGTACTTATTTTATATAAATTATGTAATACTACAAAATACTGATACCACCACACTCTTAATACACATAATGCTGCCCCATTATTTGGAGGGTTGGGAAAGAACACATCGATTTTTTATAATATTTTCAAATTACAATTAGTAAGGAATGCTTTTTCAGATAGAGCTCTAGTATTTGCCATTTTTGTTCAGTAACCTGTTCTCAATTTAAGGACAGCTTTATAATTCCGCTCTGGTAAAAGCTCGAGTCCTTACGAACAACCGTCATGCATTGTTTTGTTTTCTAGAATAATGCGTTGTTTATATTAGGAATTAGGTGTCATGTTTAAAAATTATATATACAATTATATATACCTACCTATTATATATATTGTTATACATAAAATATATATAGTATATATAGAGCTATTTAATAACATTTTTCGTGTTTCGAAAGTATCATTAGCTGATCCATATGAATTAAAGAACAGAAATGTAAAAGTTTCTAAAAGTAATTGCAATTTGTTTTGTGAGCTTTTTACGTTTTTTTTTAGCCTCATGCTCCGGCCACTTGGGAATGATATATCGGTGCTTATGCATGCACACCAATATGTGCGTGGCTGTATAAGCGATTTGGCTTTCGTGCCAAACTATATATACGTATATGTATGTATGTATGTATGTATGTATGTATGTATGTATATAGTACATGTATGCATGATTGTGCTCGATTTTGCTGCTACCGGTTGCCTAATCAAAAACAGAAGCTTCTAAAGCCACAGCCATGTGACAGCGTAACCAACAAAGTGGGCGGCAAGGTGTGATGCTGGGCGTGGCAGCACCAAATCAAGTTGCCATATCTACACATATACTCGTTGCCTGTATGTGCGTGTGTGCGTGTGTGTGTTTTGGGGCTTACGTGTATGTTGAACATTTCCATTTTGTGGCCGCACACGTTGCGTATGCGCAACGCATTTAATGTGTGTGTGTGTGTGTGTGTGTGCGTGAGCCATTGAGTGTGTATATGTGTGTATGTGTGTGTGTGTGTGTGTGACGTTGAAACAACTAATAGCTAAATTTTCGCTAAAAATTTGCTAAATTTGCATTTTTTGACGTTTTGCGGTGTTGTGGTGTTGCGGCTGCAATAGTGTACGAGTACTACACACATACAAGTATATGCATGTATGTGTGTATATATATCGTACTCGTATGCCTATACTCGTATATACTTATATGTGCATATGTATATGGGTATAGTAGTGTGGTGTTTGTGTTGCAAATATAATTTTTAATTTAAATGCAAATTTTGGAAATCATTTTCGAAACATTATGTGCCCATATTGATACGCAAATTGCTGTCAGCGTGCAAACGCATAGACATAGACGCACTCACGCACATGCCGCATACACGCATACACGCATACATACACACTGATATTCCCACCCACCCACACGCACACACATATGCAGATTTAATAACGCAAACGCGTCAGTCAACCGCCGGAACATGCCGCAGCCGTTAGAGTTCCATACGCTATCGGCAACGACGCTGGCAGTGGCATGGTGGTGGTGTCGGCGTAGATGGTGGCATTGGTGGCAGCCACCGTTGTGACCACTGAAAAGCTGACAACAGCACACAGCACACACCAAACATGGAAACCCACACGGACCCTCAGACTCGTGGTGATGCCATCATGGCCGCAGCTCGTGTCCCATAGCATGTTAAACTGTGCCTGTGCGCGTCATGCCGCATCCAAGCCACCGTAGCCACCGTAGCCACCATAGCCACCGCCTGACATTTCACGCCCTGCCGTCGCCTACGTATTGATTTTTGAAGAATTTGTTAGCGGCACGGCCCAAAAGCAACACAACACAACCCAACGCAACGCAACGCATCGCATCGCAACGTAACAAAAACACAACGCCTCCATCTAATGTTTATTGGCGGTGGCAGTATGCCGACAACATCAACTACAGCAACAAAGTATAAGCACAACAATAGCAACAATGGGCCGCAACGACAAAATAGCAACGACAAACCGCATACAGCAGCGGCAACAACAACAACAGCAACAGCAACAGTAAAAACAAACTGCGACTCACTCACGAAAATGTGTAACCAAGCGAAGGTGTCATTCAGTCAAAAGCATGTTGTTGTCCACGCTCACTACTCGCTACTCAGTACTTAGTATTCACTACTCAGTACTCAGAACGTAGTCCTCGGTCTATGGTAGGCCGTTCTCTGGTCCAGAACCAATGCGTCATTCAACCAACCTGCCAGCGAGCCAGCCAGCCAGCCAGCGAGCCAGCCAGGGAGCCAGCGAGCCAGCAACCTAGACGGCCAACGAAGGCACTCAAGTGCGAAATACAAATGCAAAGTGACTGTACACTGCACAAAAATGTGAGTTGATTTCCACAACAACAAAAAAAGTATACCAACAACTACAATTTGTTTATATTATTTACTTCTTGCTTAAAATATTTGTAGCTTTTATGCTGCAATTAAATAAAATAAATGAAATGAAAACATTGTAGTTATTGTTGCTATTACTTGAATTAAAAATGCATTTCAGAGGTCGACTTAAGCCATTTAAATTTCATAAAAAATCTAATCTTCCTCAAGGAAATGACGTTTGGAAAACGCTTACAAATTTGTAGCTGAACAAAAGATAGTTTTTTTTTTTTTTTTTTGATATTATGCTGCGGAATCCAAGACGTAACAAGACAGTTTTATATTTTTTCTTTAGATATGATTATTATTATTTATTTTAAAATCATGCTTTAAGCAATGATTAGAACCAGGCACGAATTCAGATTGTAAGATTCCTGTTAGCCCGTGGAGCTATGCCAGGCCCCCTAAAAAAGTTAGTCACACATTTGTTTGCAGCTTTCAAAATCTTTTCTAAAGTATTTTTTCGACGATTATAAATCGGTTTGAAAAATATGAATATTAATATATTAAGCAACCAGCACAACTAGTTGCGTTTTGGGGCAGTTCGACAACATGTGTAGTGGCACGAAGCACTTACTTGAAATGCTTATGAAAACGTTCCGTCTTTTAATTTATATATTTTGCATTGTAATGCATTTATTTGCTAAAAGTTTGTGCAATAGAGTTGTGATTGCTTATTTCGCACAATCCTAGCTGGTAATGCCCACCAACCTTTGCCATATCGGAGCACGCACAAATGGCTAATAAATTGTATTTTGTTGTGCCTTCTCTTAGGTAGAAAAGGTAAAGTTGATAATATTTTGGGACAGCTATTGAAAAAAATAATTGGTGTGAATTCTATGGGGAAAGGCAAATATCAATAGAAATTTTCTTTTATTAATTTTGTTACAGTTTGTAAATCGTTTCGTGCATAAACTTGGCTGCCACTTTCGTCTTCAACAACAAAGGTGTTCATAGTCATAATTGAGGTAAAATATATTTGATTTCTATACATTTTTTAGCGATAAGTTGATGCAAGCTATCAATATACAAGTATGTTATATTTATATGTTTTAAATGTTAAAGTTTTAAATATGAACTGATTGTGCAGAATGGTTGATATTAAGTACGCCCTCAGATTGATGGAAAAGAAATCGTTGAGGGGAAATCGATTATTTGATGGAGACTTCCAAGCACCGCTGAAACGTTTGAGAAAATGAATATATCAAATGCAATGCTGGGGAAATATTGCAATCACATTGAC